TCTCTCTCTCTCTCTCTCTCTCTCTCTCTCTCTCTCTCTCTCTTTCTCTCTCTCCCTCTCTTTAAAAAATAATAATAATAAGTAAAACAAAGATATTGTGTCCAACTACAACTAAAAAATAAATATTAAAAAAGGAGCATGTTTGAAATCCCATTTTTTCTCCCAGGCATGCCCATAATCATGATGATTTGGGAGGCTGAAGCAGGAGAACTGAAAGTTTGAGGCCAGCTTCAGGAACTTAATGAGACCCTGTCTCCAAATAAAAATAAAAAGGGGTGGTGGGTTCAATCCCTAAAGAGAGGGTGGAAGAAAGGGAGGGAGGAAGGAAGGAAATCCATTTTTTAAAATTTGTTTTTTAAAATAAAAATCATATCCTCAAAGAAATACCTGGCAGATAGTAGTTGCTCAGAAAATGTGTTAAATGAAATCTTAAATTCAAGAAATATTTTGTGAGGCCTATCAGGTACTAGGCTAACACTTAAAAGAGGAGGAAAGAAGTGGGTGTGATGGCATAGGCCTGTGATTCCCAGCTATTCAGAAGGCTGAGGCAGGATTGCAAGTTCAAGGCCCTGTCTCAAAATAAAAAGGGCTGGGGATGTAGCTCAATGGCAGAACATATGCAAGGACCTGAGTTTAATCCCTAGTACCGTAAGTAAGTAAATAAAGTAGAAGAAAAAAGAACAGATTTCCTAACTTCATGGAAGCTACTATTTGAGGTAGGGATAGGCAGAAAAGGGGAGAACCCACTTTGGTACCAGGCACAATTCTAGGAACTTTACATGTGTAACCTCATTTACTCCTTACCTCAGCTCCTCAAGCGGGTATTATTAATGCCATTTTACTAGTAATGAAACTAAGGCTCTGAGGTGTTCAAATACTTTGCTGAAGTTGCTTGGATTATTTATGGCAGAACTCACATTTGAACATAGGATTGGTCTTTTTCTAGTAGGATAGAGAAGCTGCAGAAAGATATGATGAAAATAAAAGCCAGACAGGACTCTGTATGCCATTAGAAAAGGGCAAGGAGGGGGTTGTAGGCAAATGGACAAGGAATTCTTCCTTATACATGAAGGAAGGTGAGATGGACTTTGAAGGAAAAGTCAGATTCACAAAGGCATAAATAGGAAAAAAGCATCCCAGGGGCATAGCAAAGTTAGAAGATCTAATGAGATCCAAATGCTGAAGGGGACAAAATGTAGCTCCCATTTTGACTTAGAACATAAAGAGGGACTGAGGGTAGGAAGCAGGCTGGTGACAGTCCAAAGAGAACCACCCCATAACTGCTGGCTGTCTTCCAGTATCTGCCTTCTTTCTTTAGTAACAGAATCTCTTCATTTAGCTGGGTACATGACCTTTCAGCTTCCCTTATAGCTAGATGTGACAGTGAGACAAAGTTCTACCCAATGGGATATAAACAGAAGTGATATATGCAACTCTTACGTCATGACCTTAAAGAGAAAGAACTTATGCCCACCAGTGATGCTCCTTTCTGCTGGTACAGTGGTGATCCAGCTAAGCTTGTAGGTAAGGGAAATCCCAAACTGTAAACAACACTTGCCAGCCCTTAGCAGCTTATATAGACTATCAGGTGAGAGTGAAAGAGTAAGAGAAAAAAATATTATTTAAATCAAAGTCTTTGTCTCTGAGTAGCAGCAGCCTAATCTGAATCTAGTATCACGTCCATGGTTGCCAGTTTATTTCGGTTCTATATCTATAACCATAAAGCTGGATTCAGTCCTCACAGACTCAGAATCCAGAGTTGTCACAGAAGCTGAGCTTCTCCCTAATCTCAGCAATCTGGAACACATGGGAAGCAATGTTGGCAAACAGGCACCTATATCTCAACCAAGAATGATTTAGCATTGTTTCTTTATTTACCTGTTGTTTTGTTGTAGATGGCATTGTAATAAGCAAAGAAGGCTCGGAATTCCAATGGCCGGTAAGACAAAACTTTCAATACATTTGGTAAAAATCCTGTCTGCAGGGAAGAAAAGACAGGGTCACACAAAATGAAAACTAAGAGCAGAATAAACAGTAATCTGGTACTCCCCATATTGTCTGAATCCAGATGCACTCTTGGAAAGGTCATAGCCTTTTTATACATATCTTAACCTTTCAGGGTATTATAATTGTTATTTCTAAAGGTATATAAAATGTCTTTTTGATACACAGTCTGATGAAGTTTAGAGAGTGAATGTAACATATAAAACAAATGAGACTTATTTGAATTTAGATTCTACTGTTTAGGTCCTACCTTTTACAGACGGGCTGGTGGCATTCATTATTTCTAAGAATTAAGTTAGTAACAAGCCCCAATATTAGTAAAGTATTTTGTAAGGTTCTTTCACATATCCAATCTCATTTATCCTCTAAACCTTGTAAGGTAGGCAAGGGAGCTATTATTATTCCTGGTTTACAGATAAGGAAACCAAGGCCCAGAACTGAAGGCCATACTTTGGGATTTTGAGTTTTCAGTGTGTTTTCTGATGGCACGCTATGGCAAACAACTGTCCATTTCTTCCCTCTTGACAACAGAACCTGGATGTTGTTCAGATATGAAGTTGTCATGGATTTCAGAACAGGTTAAACCCTTCCCCACACTAATGAGTGAATCCTTATTGTTCTAAATAAATTATGGTGATTTCATTCCACTTGTCAGTGATAGGCTGACAAATGGACATGTGACACCATGGTGGCTACTGAGAAATGAAGGGAAGTCAGCTGGGGGCCTTCCTGGCTCTCCAAAAGGAATATAAGGAAAGGGTATGCCCTCCTCACTCCTGCTAGAAGTTGTGCAAGGATGTAATGTTTGCTGATACTATAGTCATCTAATGACTATAGGGAATAAGTCTAAGCAGCTATCACACTGAGGAAGATAGAGCTCAAAAAGGAAAGAATCTACTGGATACCTGCCTGTAATCCCAGTGATTTAGGAGGCTGAGGCAAAGGATCACAAGTTGAAGGCCAGCCTTGGCAACTCAGCAAGACCCGATCTCAAAATAAAATATAAAAAAGGGCTGGGATTGAGTGCTTGCTTAATATGTGTGAGGTCCTGAGTACCCAATTCCCAGTACCACACACACAAAAAAGGAAAAAAATCTAGTCCTTGATGGTAACAGTAAGCTACTGAATTTTAACAATATAGGAATTTCCCTACCGCTAGACCAGCAATTAAGTGTGACATTGAATTATTCTTACTGTTAAACCAGCTAAATTGGATTTTCTATACAACTATAGCTGAAAGCACCCTAGCTGATAACAGATGCTAAAGGTTTGTTAGTGGTCTAAAAGACAGAGCATAAAGAACTATTTGTACTAACCAGGGAGAGTCTGGGGAGAGGGTTGGGAAATGGGAGAGGTGTAGAGAGCTGTTGATGGTGCCAAGGGCTCTAAACTTTTCCCACCAGAACAGCCATATTTTAAAAAAATATTTTTAGTTATAGATGGATGCAGTATCTTTATTTTGTTTATTCATTTTTTTATGTGTGTGCCTCAAATGTGCAAGGCAAGCGCTCTGCCACTGAGCCACAACCCAGCCCCAAGAGCCATATTTTTATCTTTATATAATGGATTTCCATGCAATATTTTGTTTGGAAAGAAGTGCCACAAAATTCTACTACCAAGTTGGAACAACAAAGGTTTAGAACAAATGTATGTTTAAGGAAATATCTTATAATTTGGCAGCATAGATGACACGCTTTAAAACTACCATCAAGGGGTCGGGTGAGTGGTCATGCCTGTAATCCCAGTGGCTGGGGAGGCTGAGACAGCAGTTCAAAGCCAGCCTCAGCAACAGAAGGTACTAAGCAACTCAATGAGACCCTGTCTCTAAATAAAAAACAAAAAAGGGCTGGGGATGTGGCTCAGTAGTCAAGTGCCGCTGAGTTCAATCCCTGGTACCCCTCCCCCCAAAACAACTTCCATCAGGAAATAATATACAAAAAGATATATGTATAAACATAAATATGTATATATATATGAAAAATATATATATACAAAAATTGTTACAAGTCCTAAAACTCTAAGATTTGGAGATTGTTGAACTAAATTACAGTATCTCTGTTATACAATGCTATATCATGTAACCCTAAATAATGTTTTGACCTAGAAATCAAGATAACATGATCTCATTTTAAAAAGTACATATATATATTTTTTAAAAATATTTTTTAGATGTTGGTGAACCTTTATGTTATTCATTTATTTTTATGTGGTGCTGAGAATCGAACCCAGTGCCTCACACATGCTAGGCAAGCACTCTGCCACTAAGCCACAACCCCAGCCCTAAAAAAGTAGATATATAGATTTATACAAACAAAATAGGGAAGAAGAAAACACCAAGATGCTAATAGTGGTTGACTTTGTATAGTGGAATCATATTTTTATTATTTTTAAATTTTCTGCTTTTTGTCTACTTTTTCAATAATTTTTCTTTTTTCTTTTCTTTTTTTTTTTTGGTATTGGGGATTGAATCCAGAGGCACTTTGCCACTGAGCCATATTCCCAGACTTTTTTATTTTTAATTTTGAGATGGTATCACTAAGTTACTTAGGGCTAGCCTCAAATTTGGAACACCCTGCCTTAGCCAGCCTCAAATTTGGAACTCTCCTGCCTCAGCTGCCCAAGTCACTGGGATTACAGGCGTGCATCACCATCCCAGGCTTCAACATGGGATTTTTTATTTTTTGTACTGGGGATTGAACCCAGGGGCACTTAATCACTGAATCATATACCCAGCCTTTTAAAATATTTTATTTAAAGACAAGGTCTTGCTAAATTGCTTAGCACCTCGCTGTTGCTGTGGCTAACTTTGAATTTGTGATCCTCCTGCCTCAGCCTCTGAGCCACTGGGATTGCAGGCCTGCACCACCACATCCGGCTCAACATATAATTTTTTATTATAATTTTTAAAGAAAAGAAAAGATACCTGTCACACTTGTTTAACCTCAGTCACTGGTGGGCAGAGAGTTGAATGATAAAGAAAAGTCCCAGAACCCGAAAGGAAAAAAGTATGAGATACAACAGGACCCAAAGGAAGGGTCCATCCACAGTGGGGAAGTTGGACAGTTGGACAGGCTGTGGCAATTAGTACCAGGGATTTCATTTAGGTAGACAAAGGTCTGCAATGGCTGTGACTCCCTGCACCAAGTGTGTCTCACCTTCTTTTCTATCTCCTCCATGAGCTCTACAATGTCAAAAGGCAGGTCCTTCTTGTAGGGAATAGGGTAACGACTGATGGGTTTGGACTTCTCTTCCTGCTGAGCCTCAAAAAGACGCAGGTTCAGGGTCACCACAGGCAACCTGTTCCAAACTCTACTTGTCACAAGGCGAAGAAAAGACTGAAAGGAAACAAAGACAGGTTGAGATGAGTTACTGAAGGAATGGATGTATATCTGGGCTTAAAGGAGAAATGGAAAACAGGTTCCATCTCTTGGGCCAATTCCCACTGATCAGAAGTTACTGCCTTGAGAATCCAGAAAAGGATCATGGACCCAACCTGAAACAATGCTGTAATCAGTTAGGAATGTCTGATGTGGAAATGGGTTATGGTGGCCCAAGTAATTTATATTTGCAATACTTGGTTAAAGTCCAGCCTAGTACTTCCTATTAGTAACATAATCTCCTGGGGTTCTTCATGGCTCTAGTGGCTCTTTCAAAGTCTATCAAGTGATTGCCAGGATTTTGTCATCCTCTGTCAACAACATTACCTATTATATAATGAGCACTTAATATGTACCAGGTGTTTGTTTTGGTACTGGAGATTGAGCCTAGGGTGCTCCACCACTGAGTTACTTCCCAACTCTTTTTATGTCTTAAAATTTTGAGACAGGGTCTCACTAGGTAACTAAGGGTTTTGCTAAGTTGGCCAGGTTGTTTCTCAAACTTGCAATCCTCCTGCCTTAGCCTCCTGCATTGCTGGGATTACAGGTGTGTGCCACTGTACCCACCTATACCCAGTTGCTTTTTTTCATATATTCTCCAATACTCGCAGCAATCCTGCATTTTACAGATACAAAAACTAAGAATGAGAAAGGCCACATAGAGCTCAATGTTTGAGTTAGATTAAAATTCAGAACTGCCTAACTCTAGAATCTATGTTCTTCCCACAATGTAGTCCTGTTTTTTAAAAGGAAAAAAAAAAGTAACAAAATCACATTATTCTAAGTGAAAAGGGTGAAACAGAAAAAATCTGACTAGACAGCCCTCTCATGCCTTTTATCATGTAAAGTTATAAGAATGCTACAAGAAAATCAAAGATTATGCCTTTCTAGAAAGCTCAGTCTAGTTAGGTAACCTAAGGCTGTGAAAGATAATATAACAAAGGGCTATCTGAAGCCAGGCTGCTTGGGTGAAAACCCGTTTCTGTCCTTTTAGTTTATTCTTTGGTAAAGTGTGGATGAAATAATACCAAATCACAGAGCTGTTGTGATGATTTAATGAATTAATATATATAAAGCTTTTAAAATAGATCTTTGGGGCTGAGGATATAGCTCAGTTGGTAGATTGCTTGCCTTGCATGCATAAGGCTTTGGGTTTGATCCCCAACACCAAAAAAAAAAAAAAAAAAACCCAACCAAACAAATAAAATAGATCTTTGCACTTAGCAAATTCTATATATTTATTAAATAAAATGTTATAGGTTTAGAATAAGGATGTCAAATTTTATTATTTTTAAAACCCAACCAAACAAATAAAATAGATCTTTGCACTTAGCAAATTCTATATATTTATTAAATAAAATGTTATAGGTTTAGAATAAGGATGTCATTTTTTATTATTTTTAAATTTTCTGCTTATTTGATTTTTCAATAATTTTTCTTTTTTTGGTATTGGAGACTGAATTCAGAGGTACTTCACCACTGAGCCATATTCCTAGATTCTTTTTATTTTTAATTTTGAAACAGTCTCATTAAGTTGCTTAGGGCCTTGCTAAGTTAGTACACTGTGGACCTATCAAATTACATCTGCTTACATATTTAAATGCTAGATACACAGAAAAGATCTGGGCAGCTCCCCTCACACCCTTGTGACAGTTACTTTTTTGTGTCAACCTTACTGGGCTAAGAGATGCCCAAACAGATAGCTGTTAAAACATTATTTCTGGGGGCTGGGGTTGTGGCTCAGTGGTAGATGCTTGCCTACCATGTCCACGTGGGGCACTGGGTTTGATTCTCAGCATCACACATAAATAAGTAATTAAACTAAAGATCCATCAACTAATAAAAATATTTTTAAAAAACATATTTCTGGGTGCACCTGTTAGGGTGTTTACAGAAAAAAATTGCCATTTGAATAAGTAGATTGAGTAAAGAAGATCCATCCTTACTAACTAGAAGGGCTCATCCTATCTGATCCCTAACAGAACAAAAAGGCAGAAGAAGGCAGATTCACTCTTTCTTCTTAAACTAGAATGCCCAAGTTCTCCTGCCCTTAGGCATCACAGATACTGGTTCTCAGTGGCTCCCATTCTCAGTTCTCAGCCTTCAGACTTGGACTGGGAGTTACATTATCAGCTTTGTTGGTTCTCAGGCCTTCTGACTTATATGAAATTATGCCACCTTCTTTCCTGGTTCTCTAGCTTGCAAACTACAGATAGTGGAAATGCTCTATAATTGTGACCCAGTCTCAATTTAGGTGTCCTTTTATATCTATATCTGTCTCCTATTGGTTCTGTTTCTCTGGAGAATGTTGAATAATACACCACGTGGGAACTCTCCATGAATGCCACCTACTGTAAGAGCCTGCCTCTTTGATGTTCATATCTGACACTTCATCTTTGTGCCAGCAATGTTCTCCCTACGAGTAAAGTCTAGGCTATGAAATTTTATAGCTCTGTTACCTCAGCTTTCTATATCCTCTAGCCAGTGTGGTGCAAATATCCAAGTCACCAGGCCAAATCCACTGGTCTCTGAAGCTGCCAGGGAAAAATGCTCTGCTTCATACTTATACTACAGTGGATTTGGACTGGGAAACCAAAAGTGAGGCAGTTGACAATGACATCTGGGGCTGAAAAGTCATAAAGCAGAGTAAGACCAGGTGGAATCATGATGTATCATGAGCATATCAAAGGAGTGAGAGGCAGAAATTGTGCGAAAGCAGCAGCTATGATGGGGAGAAAAGACTCAAGGTAGATGGGAGGAAGAAAGTTGTTAAGGACTGGGCCTGTGGCTCAATGGTAGAGCACCTGCCTTGCACATGTGAGGCACTGGGTTCGATCCTCAGCACCACATAAAAATAAATAAATAAAGGTATTGGGTCTAACTAAAAAAAATATTTAAAAAACAAGAAAGTTGTTAATAGAAAGAGATGCAGATAGATAAAAAGATACTGAACTAGGAGACAAGACTTGTTCCTGGCAGATTTCCTGGGGCCTTGTTGCAGTGGTACCTGGAGGTATCAGAACAACTTGTCGGTTTCAGTTTCCATGTGGAATGATTTAATAATGCCTGAAACAGAGTCATGCACTGACAAGAAAAATCAGAATGAAACCAAGAAAGCAAATGGGTCCTTCAACTTCTATAATTCAAAGGAAACAATGGACTTCAAGGAGTAAAGCACTCCTACCATATAACTTTGTGTTTTTTTTGGGGGGGGGCGTACCAGGGTTTGAACCCAGAGTTAAACCCTGGGCTTAACTAACTTAAGCACTGAGCCATATCACCAGCACTTTTTGTATTTTATTTAAAGACAGGGTCTTGCTGAGTTGCTTAGGGCCTCACTAAATTGCTGAGTCTGGCTTTGAACTCTTGATCCTCCTGCCCCAGTCTCCTAAGCCACTGGGATTACAGGTGTGTGCCACTGTGCCCAGCCCATATAACCTTGTTTTAAAAATAAACAGAAAATACTCATATAATGCTTAGAACAGCTAAGAGTATTCTAAGTTGCTTTATATATATTTACTCAAAACTCAAGTTAACTTGGTTCTGTTATTCTCTCCACTTTAGAAATGGGAAAGCATAGGCATAAAAAAGTTACCAAGTGTATAACTAGTAGAGCATGGATTCAGAGTCAGGCATCCAGCTCCAGAGTTCTCACTCAGAATTATGTTCAGTACTGCATGTACGAGCACACTGCCAAGGATGGTAACTCAGCACTATATCTTTAAAACCTCTAAATCCAAGTCCATCTATAAATCTCAGGTCTTGTCCCCACTTTCCCCTAAATACTTTTAACATTTTAATTCTGAACTTTGAGTAACTGTAATATCAATAAAAAGTACAACTTTTATTTGTTGAGTGAGTATTTCACTAGGCTTATTGATGGAGCCTCACAGGCGCTGTCCCTAACTACTGCTATAGTTTGGATTTGGAATGTCCCCCAAAGGCTTATTTGTTAAAGGTTTAGTATTCAGCCTGTGGCACTACTGGGAGGTAGTAGAACCCTTAGGAGGTGGGGTTTATTGGAAGGAAGTTAGGTCACTGATGGCATGCCCATGAAGGACGCATTGGGACCCTGGTCATTCCTTTTTTTTGGCTTCCTGGCTGTCACAAGGTGAGCAGATTTTCTCACAAAAGTGCTGCCTGCCAAGAGGTACTGCCTCACCTCACCACAGGCTAAAGATTGAAACCTCTGAAATCATGAGCTCTAACAAATCTTCTTATAGTTAATTATCTCAAGAATTTTGTCACGGCAATGCAAGGCTGAAGTAACAGAACTACCATATCTCTCTCCACTGGGGGAAATCATGGCTCAGCTACCATGAGGGAATACAAGTTTATATATTTTCAAGAGAAGCTGAATGTGAAAATTCAAAATGTGGCTTGTGGTCACCTACTTTGAGGGAGGTTGCAAGTTTGAGGCCAGCCTCAGCAATTTAGCAATGCCCTAAGCAACTTAGTGAAACCCTGCCTCAAAATTGAAAAAAAAAAAAGAAAGAAAGAAAGAAAGAAAGAAAACTGGCTGGGATGTAGCACAGTGGTGAAAGTGCCTCAGGGTTCAATCTCCAGTATTAAAACCAATTAAGAAAAAAAAAAGACACACAAATGGCCATTAGGTACAAGAAAACTTGCTCAGCATCATTTGAAATTAGGGGAATGCAAATTAAAACCATGAGATAATATTTCATACCCACTAGCATAGCTGTAATCAAAAAGACAGACAACAAAAACTGTGAGATGTGGAGAAACTGGGCCTGTATACAATGCCGATAAAAATATAAAATGGTGCAGCTGTTTTAGAGAAATTTGATAAGTTTTTTTTAAGAAGCTAAATGTAAATTTATCATATAGTCCAGCATTTCTACTCCTAGGTACCTATCTATCCAGTAGAAATGAACATATAGCTCTTCACAAAGACTTGTATAAAAATAATCATAGCATTAATAACAAAAAAGGAGAAAGAACCCCAAAGTCCACAGACTCATGAATGGATAAACAAAATGTGGTGTACCGATACAATATACTACTATTCAGAATTTAAAAGAAATGAATTAATACATGCTACAAATATGTACAAAATTTTAAAAATTAAGTTAAAGAAGCCAGACCAAAAACTTTATATTATTAAATCCCATCTATATGAAACACTCAAAAGAGGTATACTACAGAGACAGAAACTAAATTAGCAGTTGGGTAAGGCTGGGGTAGGAAAGGAATTGATTGCAAATGGGTAAAAAGGATCTTTTAGAGTGACAAATATTATAAAACAGTCTTTTTTATAATTGCTTCCTAGTGGGATTGAGACAGTTTCTCATTGTGGTTTTACTTTACATTCACTGGATGACTAATAAGCATATTTTGTGCTTTTATTGGCTATTTATCTATTATTTGGAGAAATATCTTTGGTCCTTTCCCCATTTCTAAATTGAGAAATTTATATCTTTATTATTGAGTTTTAAATGTTCTTTATATATTCTAGATACATGTCCTTTATCAGTTATGATTCTTCATATATTTTCTCCCATTCCATTGGGTTTTCTGTTCTAATTTTATGAAGTCTAATTTTTCTGTTTTTTTCTTTTGATGCTTGTGTTTTTGGTAGTGTCATATCTAAGAAACTACCATCAGAATTGTCTCTGTTTTCTTCCAAGAGTTTTATAATTTTAGTTCTAATTTTTAGATAGTTGATCTATTTAGAGATAATTTTTGTATTTACTTTGATATGGGTCCAACTTTGTTCTTTTGCATGTAGCTACCTAGTTTTCCAAATATCATTTGTTGAAAAGACTGTTTTTCCCCCACTGAATCATCTTGGCATCCTTGCCCAAAATCAATTGAGTATTAAGTATAAGGTTTATTTCTATGATCTTAATTCTATTCCATTGATCTATGTCTAATGAGTATTCCAGGAAAAACACTGTCTTGAATTATTGTAGACCTTTGGTAAAATTTTGAAATCAGAAACGTAAATCCTTCAACTTCTTAAACATTGTTTTGGTATTCTGGATCCCTTAAATTTTCATATGAATTTTAGGAATAGTTTGTCAGTTTCTGCCATAAAGCCATTTGGGACTGTGGCTGTGACTAGGTCAAATCTTTATACAAAGTTGGAGAGTATCATTGTCCTAACAATATTGACTCTCCTCATGTATGAACATAGGGTACATTTCCAGCTATTTGCATCTTGTTTATTTCAACAATGTTTTGTAAGTTTTCAGAGTATAATTTTTTTTAAAGAGAGAGTGAGAGAGAGAGGGGGACAGAGAGAGAGAATTTTAACATTTATTTATTTTTTCTTAGTTCTCGGCGGACACAACATCTTTGTTGGTATGTGGTGCTGCTGAGGATCGAACCTGGGCTGCACGCATGCTAGGCGAGCGCGCTACCGCTTGAGCCACATCCCCAGCCCCTCAGAGTATAAATTTGGTATGTCTTTTTGTTAAATTTATTCTCAAATGTTTTATTCTCTTTACATGCTACAAATATGTACAAAATTTAAAAAATTAAGTGAAAGAAGTCAGACCAAAAACTATATATTATTCAATCCCATCTATATGAAATATTTTATAGTAGTATTTTTTTATACTACTATAAATGGGATTTTAAAATTTCATTTTTGGGTTGTTCATTTCAAACAAATAGAAATACAATTGAATTTGTATATTGTTCTTGAATTCTAAAACCTCAGTGAACTTTTTAATTGTAATTTATATGATATTAGCTGCGGGTTTTTCACAGATGACTTTCATCAGGTGAAGAAAGTTCCTTTCTAATCCCAGTTTAGTTTATTTTAAATCACAATTTGTCAAATGCTTTATCTGCAACTCCTGAGATTTTTTTTTTATTGAACTTGGGCATTAGACCACTGAGCCACATCCTCAGCCCCATTTTGTATTTTATTTAGAGAAAGGGTCTCACTAAGTTGCTTAGTGCCTCCCCGCTGCTGAGGCTGCTTTGAACTCAGATCCTCTTGCCTTAGCTTCCCAAGCTGCTGGGGTTACAGGCATGTGTTACTGTGCCCAGCTAGAGATTCTTTTTTAAATGTGTGATATTATTCACCAGTGAAACCATCTGGGCCCGGGCAGACTTCATTTGATTGCTGTTATTGATGAGTTGGCTCATAAACCTCACCAGTGTACTGCCTCTCAACACCAAAATCACCTTCACTGCCTGCTCTAGAAAATGCATTTGAGCTTTAAAATATTTTTTTTTCTGTTGCTATCATGACAATAAGCTAGAGGCACTGCAGGAGAAATGGGATTTTCTTCCTGATAAAACATACTAAGTAGTATTCCTGTAGCAGCAGCTTCTCCGGTGCCTGCTTCTGCTTTGCTTGGAAACCCAAAACACCCAGCAGCCAAGTTTTCCCTGGCACTCTATTGGGCAGCTTTGTGGCAGAGGCTTCCAGTAGCTCCCTTCCAATGAATAACTGTCTTCAGCATTTCTTCAGCAAAGTTCTGGAGGGTAGACTTGTGTAAAGTTTTGCTGGCATATCCCCAGTCACTTGCTGCTATTTAATGAGCCATGGCCGGCCATACCTGTTCCCAAAAGATCTTGATCACTGCTACCTGGGGAGAGATAGAACTCTTCTTTGCATATTACATCTCCACAACAGAGGTATAATGGTCATTCTCTTATATCTGATATTCCTGTTCTGTTTCTTTGTAGTATTGGGGATTGGACTCAGGAGTGCTATGCCTCTGAGCTACATTCCCAGTCCTCCTTATTTTGGCTGGCCTCAAACATGATCCTTCTGCCTCAGACTTCCAAGTATTTGGGATTACAGGCATGTGCCACTGTACCTGGCTCATTCTTGTACTCTTTAATGCTCCCTTTAATTCTTACTAGCCATTACCTCATTATTCTAATGCCCTATTCTAGTAATTCTTTAAATTAATCTTTCCTTTTCAAAGTACTGTGTTTTTTTTTCCTCTTGAATATATTCTGACTGATAAACACTATGCTTTTTCATGTCCTCCTATATGTTTGGGCCTGGTATATAGAAAGCACTCAATGTGTATAATCCAATAATAGGATCATGACCCATGATGTTCATAGGCAGTTTTTACTATTTTAAGCTCTTTCTTTTTAAATTTTTTTATAGTTGTAGATAGACAGAAGGCCTTTATTTTATTGGTTTATTTATTTTTTGTTTGTTTTTAAATTATAGGTGGATATTCTTTATTTTTATGTGGTGCTGAGGATCGAACCCAGTGCCTCACACATGCAAGGAAAGTGCTCTGCCACTAAGCTACAGCCCCAGCCCTTTCTTTCTTTTGCCTCCTTTAGGACACGTATCTTGATCCCTAACCCCCAAACCCAGGCATGTAGAGAGAACCATTTCATCTTCTGTACTGGGTGTGGGAGGATGCTCTAATCAGTTTTGTGGGGTTTTTTTCCAGCCCCATAGCACTGGGTATCTGCTGGTAAAGACAATGGGACCAGGATTCAGCTGCCTGCCCAATTTCTATTCGGAGCAAGTGCGCAAAAAAAGCTTTGAAAGCAAAAAAAGCCCAAATTCGCCAGTAAGCAGTGAAAAACAACTGTGAGATGTCATCTTTCCAACTCCTAAAGTAGCAAAAATTTCTGAAAAGTAATTTCTGGAAAAGAATCTGGAAGGTTTTGGTCATTCCCTACAGGAAATACTCGCTATGAGTAGATGAAGGCCAGAGGTATCGGGGCACATTGGTCTTGACTGCAGGGCTCCAAAACCACGAGCCTCTAGGAGAGAACAGGCCTAATCCACTTGGGCCATCCGCTGGCCAACAGCCTCAGATTTTCTATTTCTCAATCACCGCGGCCACTTTTACCACCAGAAAAGGGAACACGTGTTGTTCCAAAATGTGAACTATAACTGCGAACTCATCGGAAAATAGGGCAGGCCTACGTGCCTTTAAGTCCAAGGAGGCAGCCCGGAGCCGCCCACAGATCCCAGGACCTCGGGATCCCACCTGCTGCACGCGGGAGGAATTCTGCCTCCCCGCCCCGCGCGCTCCCACTCACCGGCTGCCTCAAGGCGCCGAGGCAGCGAAGCACCGACATGGCGGTGCTTGGCACTCGGCACTCTAGTGTGAGCAGGCAGCCTTCCGGTGTGATGGACCCTCTGGGCGTCGGGTTGGACGGTGCCCGCGAGGCGCTGGTGCTCCGCCCCCGAATTTCCGGTGTCGGGTGACTGAGCACCTGCTTTGCCTTCGAAGCTAGCTGGGTAGCTCACCCGGTGCCACAGGACTGTGGGCTGGATAAGCCTCAGTCTCCACTAATAATCGTGGGGCGGGGGGGGGGGAGACGCTGAGGAACAGTTCAGGGAATATTACCGACCTCCCTTGTTTCCTCAGTGGGACTTGAGGTTATTGCCTGAGGGTGCCTCAGGCGTAACTTTGAATCAGCCTTAATCTATGTGAGCTTGGTTCCAGTCCCTCTGGAGTTGAGATGGAGTGGGGAAGTAGACAAATGCAGTTCATATCATCTCTGCCCAATGAACTCCCACTCCTGCCAGGGTGATTAAATAAGAACAGCTATTTCAACAATCTGGTGGCAAAACAAGTTTTATTTCAGTTGACCTTTTATTACTCCAAGAGAAAATGGCTCTACAGTATCTTGTCAAATTTGGAGGAGGTGTTAGTGATGTCTATCTTAAAAATAAAAAAATAAAAATCTAAAAATTCACGTTGGAAGCAAAGATATGGGCAGTAGCTAAGAGACATGGGTCAGAGTCCGCCCTCTGCACCTCCAGGAGCTCTCGCCACTGCGGGAAATTTGACCAATTGCTCACGTGGGCAGTACGAAGCAACAAGCCTTCGTTACTTTCTTCGTTACTTTTCGTTAGCCATGTAGGATAACTCATGTATATGAAAAGGTAACATGATATTTTATTTATATTTGGAGAGGGTCTAGCGAGAAAGATATGTGTTACACCAGTCAAGAATTGTCTATTCATGTCAGAACACCATACAGACTTAGAACTACAGCTGACAGCACAGCAAGTCAAATGGGCAAGACCAATAAATCATTTCTTGATTTTATTCTGTTTTCCACTCTGGAAACAACCAAAAAGGTTTTATTTTGAAAAAGAAAAAAAAATTTCTGGTGAAAAGCCAGCTGCCTTTCTGAGCGCTTAGTCGACAGGGAGGGCCTCTGGGCCCAGCCAACGTAAGTTGACTTCGTTCCTCTGCACAGCTCCTGGGGTTCTCAATCTACTGGAGCTACGCATTTCTCTAATACCGGCCCGCGGACAGACTGCAAGATGGATGAATGGTTAGATACACAGTCACTACCACTTGGAAGAGGCGAGGGTGGACCGCCAGGCTGAAAAAGACCAAATTTCATAGTCTAAGGTCTATGAAATAAGGACTAAGGTCCAAGACCCAGAGACCGCAACTGACGGAAACGGAAGACCCTGAGGGCATTGGGGATTGGAGGAGGGGCAGGAAACGGAAACGGGGAACCGGAAGTGGAGGTTGGTGGCCGCTTCAGGATGGCTGAAGCCGTGCAGTTTGCGGCTGAATCTCTCGCGGGTGGCAGGGCACGAGCTGCGCGCACAGTACTCGATCAGGTGGTGCTCCCGGGTGAGGAGCTGCTGCTGCCGGAACAGGAGGATGTGGAAGGCCCTGGTGGTGCGGGGGAGCGACCGTTGCGCCTTAATGCTGGGACGCGCTCGCGGTTACGCGTAGTGTGTGGCCCCGGCTTGCGGCGCTGCGGAGACCGCCTGCTGGTTACAAAGTGTGGCCGTCTCCGTCACAAGGACCCCGGGAGTGGCAGCAGTGGTGGTGTTTACTGGGTGGACTCGCAACAGAAGCGGGTGAGCTGAGACTTCGGAGGGGCGGGCGGTAGTGAAAGTCTAATCCTGCGCTTAGGTGACTTCCTGGAAGAAGCAGGGCCGGGGCCCTGGAGCCCTCATTTTGTCAAGGTTCGCTTAGAGGCATCGTAGTATTTTCCTTACCTCTGGCCTTTTTAGAGGGACTACGAACAATAGAAACGTTGCTTGAGAAGAGCGATCAGGAGAGAAAGCCTCTACAGACCCAGTGTCATGATTGTCTTCAAAACCCAAAGGTCAAGAAGCTGTAGGCTTGCCTTTGGAATCCCAGATGGCAGGACCAGCCTCAGTGAATGGAAGTCACAGGGAGTTAAAATGCTCTTAGAATAATTAAGAACTTTTATATAGAAAATTTTGTCTTGATAATGGAATGGTCTTCCTTGGCTTTAAGCATCCCTGTGCTACTTACTGCTCCTGCGTGCAACAGAAGTTAGGGCTTTTTGGTAATAATGCTTAAGTATGGGATACTGCCTCAAATTAACAAGACTATTAGAGACTGCAAAGCCGGGCTGGGGGCACGGGCCTGTTGTCCTAGCTACAGAGGAGGGTGAAGTATGAGGATCATCTGAGCCAGGAATTTGAGATGAGCCTGTGCAAGGTAGACCCTGCCAGGTGCTGTAGTGCACACCTGTAATCCCAGCATCTTGGGAGGCCGGGGCAGAAGGATTGTAAGTTCAAGACCAGCTTCTGCAACGCAGCGAGACCTGGCCTCAAAAGGGGGTGAGGATTGCCCTGGGGATGTAGGTCCTAGATAAAAGACCCTTGCACTTGATCTCTAGTACTACAGGGTACTAAGGGGGCGGGTGGGCGAGGGAGAGAGGAAAAAACAAAAACCCCTGCAAACCCAAGAGTCACGTTGTGATTTTCTTTTATTGAAATAGTATCATTGTTTTATGTAAGACTTATATGAGTTTGTAAACTTGAATTTTAAAATATTTTAAACATCTCTTTAATGAAAAACAAGGACTAAGGCCTTAATGAAGATATCTTCCATTGATTCCTTGTTGTTTATGACTGTTTGTTCTGATGTTTTTTGTAGTATGTACCAGTGAAAGGAGACCATGTGATTGGCATAGTGACTGCTAAATCTGGAGATATATTCAAAGTTGATGTTGGAGGGAGTGAACCAGCTTCTTTGTCTTATTTGGCATTTGAAGGTGCAACTAAAAGAAACAGACCAAATGTGCAGGTAATGATGGGATTATTTGATTTCAATAGTAAGAAAAATATCAATTTCTCAGAATTATCTGCCCCAAAGGCTACCTGAATTGTCTTCAAAGCATGAACTATTTTCCTAGTTCTACAGGATAGACTCTAAGCATCTGCTTAATGTCCTAGGCTCCAAGAGTTCTTCAGATTATCCAGTGCCAGACCAGAGCCACTACATTGGTTCTTGTGATATTTGATATCTATTGAGTTAAAAGTTTATATCTGTTTTCTCCATTGTTATATGTCATGTCCATATCTACTGCACAGGGATATCAGCCATAGGCTTCAGGAGGAAAGGCAAATCATTAACATTGTCGGCCATCCATCTTGCTTAGAGGTCCTTAGAGCTGATTTAGGAGTAAACTTGTTATTGCAGATTTTCAGTTTGGGCTTTTTAGATACTATAGCTATATTCTTATGTCTATCCAGCCAGAAATTTTGACTTCTATTCACCTTTCCATTCACCTCTTATAAGTCATAGTTATTTAACCTTATTTTGATTCTCTTTGACTCTCTGATCTTTATCTCCACTTCATAAGTTCAGATATCGGCTTTCTTTTGGCAGGACTCAGTAGTCTCCTCATTAACATACCTGCTTATATACTTTTACCCCTCCATTCAGGCTTTTGAGAAATGACATCTTCACATGCTCCCTTTCTTGAAAAACAAAAAATTTTTAAAGATTCTTCAAAGCCTGCAGAACTCCTTGGCATTATACGCTTCTCTCATCCATATTATATCCATCATACAGCCATGCTTAACCCATACAAACATAAATGAATTATTTCCTGCTCTTGTACATTTGCTCATGCTGTTCCCTCTGTTTGGATCTGATTATCTCCTCAGTCTGTAGAACACATGCTCATCCTTTGAGGCCAAGGCTAAACATACCACCTCTGTAAAGCTATTGCTATTTGTCACTTTTATATCTGCCCTGACAGGTAGACATTTAGCCCTGAAGGAATTTTGTTGTTTACATGTCTATTCCCTCTGTCCTCCAAGATTAAATGCTTCTGAAAGACAAAAAGTGTTTTATTCCTCTCTGGTTCTTGTAGTCATCAGCAAACAATAGGTACTTAATAAACATTTTGAGAAGAAAACAATTCATTCTCCATTTCCTTAGTTTCTTTTTTCCATACGATTTATTTTTATTTTTTAGACATACATGACAGCAGAATGTATTTTGACATATAATACATACATGGAATGTACATACATCAATCATATTGTCTATTTTATTCTGCTGCCCTTCCTATTGTCCCTACTCCTCCTCCTCCTCTCCCATCCTTTCTCTCTATCCAGTCTAATGTGACACACTCATTTCCTTAGTTTCATCATTTTGAAATTCAGTTCTGTGAGGTTTTTAAGCAAATCATGTATAGAGAAGTTATCTGTTAATTACCACTGTTCTATAATAATTTGCATGCCAGGTTTTTCCTTCTTCTCTATAAATCCGTAATTATTCAGAATAGTGCTAATAGAACTTTATATGATGGTTCTATTTTACATCTGCACCAATATGGTAGCTCCTAGTTACACAGGGCTGTTGAGCATCTGAAATGTGGCTAATACAACCGAGGGACTGAATTTCAAATATCTAATTTTAATTAACTTAAATGTAAATTTACATAAATACATGGGTACCGGTTACCATATTGAGCAACACAATGTTGAAGAGTATTCTTTGGCTTTGAGATGATTCCTACTCTAATGATTTCTTGGAGGGTGAAGGGAGGGTTACATGTATTAATTTTGCCTTTGAAGACTCAACTCCAGTGTGGAATCCTAGGGTGTAATCAGCCTATTAGCCAACTATAGGATGCTGGTATTGCTGCCTATGAAAAAGAGCCAATAGCAGCTTTTGTAGCATGGCATGCTGAGAGGATTCAATTATTCTTTTAATGTCTTGTAGGTTGGAGATCTCATCTATGGTCAATTTGTAGTTGCTAATAAAGATATGGAACCAGAGATGGTCTGTATTGACAGCTGTGGACGAGCTAATGGAATGGGTGTGATTGGACATGATGGTCTGCTTTTTAAAGTGACTTTGGGCCTAATTAGAAAGTAAGTCCTAATGCCTTCTAGCTTGCCTGTGTTCTTTTATTTTTACTACACCTGCTTTGAAATTTGGATTGTTAATAACATTCACTTTCTTCTGAGTTAAAAATCAATATCCATTTAGCCTATTTATAAACTCATAAGTTTAGTTCTGCCCTTTTTCAATGTCAGTGTTTCAAATTTAGATGTATTTGGCTGTGTTGTTTACAGTGTGGTGATTCATCCTTCATGTTTCAACTCTGTCCTTTTCATTTCTTCTCTACCAGAGGCCCGCCGTTCCTTATAACCAACATACTCAGCCTAAATGTGAAAACTGGCCTTTCCTCATTCTAAGTCACTTGAATACAGGTGTATCTGCATTTGTAAAAAATTATCAGATTTCACTAAGGGTGGCCAAATGCAGCTAGACTGATGGATCCTCAAAGTTAGATATCATTTACAGAAGGTTCCTGTTATTCTGACCTGGTAGTTCCCACTCAGGAGAGTCTCTTCATTAGGTGTTTGGATCTTTATCTGCCTAGCTGTTTACTTCTGTAGGCACTGAAGTTCAGATCTATCTTCTGTGCCTTTCCTTTCTACCCATTCTGCAGATTGGAGATTGTTTGGGGTAACGCTAGAGAAGCCTGTTATTTAACTAGATAGTACCTTTGTACTTTCATAGAGCCAGTGCTTTTCTCCAAGCATTGAATTTAATACCAGGGAATAACTTACATGATCAGGAAAACAAATTTAATGTGTTCTCTTAATACTGTTGGTAATTAAAAAACAAAACAAAACAAAAAACTATGATTTTAAAGTCCAGAATTAAGTGTTCTGACAATCTCTGGAAAGAACTTTACATATTATACTATGTTGATGACATAAGGAGTTTGACATCTTTGTAGTGAGGTAGCTCATTACTGTGACCTCTGGTATACCTTTGAAAAGTGTTAAAACTTTTTGGAAGAAAGGGGGCTGTGAGCTGGGTATAGTGGCACATGTTTTTAATCCAGTCTACTCAAGAAATTGAGGGCAAGAGGTTCTTGAGGGCAACTAGGGCAACATAGCAAGACCCCATCTAAATGGGGTGGGGTGGAATGTAAAGTGTCATTTTATGCCTTATTCTTAGTGTGATGATGACAGTGCCTTAAATAACTTAATAGTTCAGAAAAGGAGTCTCCTTCTGAAGGAGATCTAGAACACATCCTACCTTTTTATTAAATTTCATTTTTATTCCTCTTTACCACTAGGTTATTAGCTCCAGAATGTGAAATCATACAGGAAGTGGGAAAACTCTATCCACTGGAAATTGTGTTTGGAATGAATGGAAGAATATGGGTAAAGGCAAAAACCATTCAGCAAACTTTAATTTTGGCAAATATTTTAGAAGCTTGTGAACACATGACAGCAGATCAAAGAAAACAAATCTTTGCCAGATTGGCAGAAAATTGATACATGTGGACTTCTTCAGTGGGTCATTTGAGCCAAGAGACTATGAGTTTCCTGGGAATTTTTTTTTTCAGGTTAATCTCTCTCTATTAAATCTTCAGAAGACAAGATGTGAATTTTGTTTTCTAAATAAAATATTTTTATAAGAAAGTTACTGGTTTTCACTCATGTTCTTGTGTGGGTGAGAAAAAATTTTAAAAACCATGTTTGTATGTTCTATACAATAAAATTTACTAAAAAGTATCATGGCTTACTTATTTGAAGTCAACTCCCTTCATTTTGCTAGAGGCAGCTTCAATAAGAACAAGAAGTTGGCATTAAAATATTTTCTGATCATTATGGTAAAACTTCTTACCAAAGGAAATGTAGAATACATAAAAAGTATATAGAGGTAAATAAACAAGTCTCCTGTAATCCCATTAGTAAGTGGAAGAGTAAAGCTAATGTTTGTTTATCATGCAGCATGTATTGTTCCAAGTGTTTTCACATGGATTAAGAAATTTATTCCTAGTAACTATAGAAGACATTTATCCTCATAGTTGAAGAAACTGAGACACAAGATTAAGCTTATCCTACATTCCCAAGCACTAGGTGTATGTATGTTTTTCAAAATGGAATTAATTACAGGGTATTTTCTTAGACTGAAAAATTCATGATTGTTAAAAAAATTCGGCTGGTGCTGTGGCGCATGCCTGTAATCCCAGCAGATCAGTAGGCTGAGGCAGGAGGATCTGAGTTCAAAGCCAGCTTTAGCAATTTAAGCAAGGCCCTAAGCTACTCAGTGAGACCTGTCTCAAAATACAAAAAAGTGCTAGGGATGTGGCTCAGTGGTTAAACACCACTGGATTCAATTTCTGGTACAAAAAATAAAAATCCAACAACTGGATATTTCATTTTCACGTTACAGAATATTTTGGACATATTTGGCTTTTTGTTGTTACACAAATTTCAAACACGATGAGTATTTCTGAATTCAAGTCTAGCCAAATTTTGACAACCATTTTCTAGAAGGCAAACAAAGTACACCTGCTTGGGTTTTGCATAAATGGGAGAGGTGTGTGAAGGGGTTCATGAGAAAATTCTTCCATGCTATTTGGTGTACTAACCAATGCCCTTTTAGGTTAAAACAAAGACTGGCAGATGATAAAAGCTCAGTAGTTCTGGGGTCAGACCTCTTAGAATAGCTATGGGCTCCTTGAAGCCTATCTACGTGTCCCTTTAGGATGAAAGAGATTAGAGCACTTATTCATTATGTTGGTACCGATTAAGAAGCATTATGTGTTCATAAAGATGTTTTTTGAAGGATGGCCTATTTTAGTTAAAAAAAAAAACACTGATATTTATCAAATGACCATAATTCACAAAGGATTAAATGGTAAGGGATGCAGACAAAGCAAAATAACCTTTGGTTCTGAGGTAAAACATTTTCTGAATTTGCTAGCAGGTTAACTACCCCAATATGAAGCAACTGTATATAGGACACAAGAAAAGGAAGTATATTTGATAAGAGGTAGATTAACATGCTTGCATGTCAGAACACAACATTTTCTAAGACTCATCAATACTTTGGTTTTGCTTTTTAATTTGTTACAAATATATATGAAGAATGTAGTTTGTACAAGGCTCAGAATGCAAAACTATTCACACAAATTGGAAGAGAGAGGCCCTGCATTCCTATATTCAGAACAAGGGAGTACTGGGTGAGAGCCACAGGCGGGAACAAAGTGTGCTAAGGGGGCTCAAAGTAGATAGGTCAGGTCAGGCAGATTCTGCAAAGCTTATGTGCAGCATTTCACTCAGCTGGAAAAATCAGCACACTCAGAGGCAGCTGGAGAAAGTCATACAATTTAATGCCAGTTTAGTATATATAAAATAATTGATATAACAATTATTTTGCCACATAAACAGTCTCTAAAAGTAGGGTCTTTCACAAATAGAGAAGTATAAAAGATTAATTAACATATCCAAAGTCATGTAGTTTTAGAGCTAATCCTTGTTATATAATTTTTTTTTTTTTAAACATTGATCAGGGCACTTCCTGTGAGCCAGGCACTGTGGACAATGCAAAAGCATAAAATATGGTCCCTGTCATTAGTTTACACTATGAAGATCCAAGATATCAAGTAAAGGCAAGTATATGCCACTACTACCCCCTGCCTTTTTCTTTGGTTGAAACACCTCAGGCACTTCATCTCCTGCAGCTGCAATCTTAGGCTGCCCGTTATTCCACTGAATTTCGAAGAACATAGCCTTTTCCCGAAGAAACTCCTTTCTTCAATGCTTCAGGCCAGTTGTGAGTCTCCAAGAAAGTGGACAGGATATCAAACACTGTTAAAAGGTAAACAGAAGACAACAACCATATGAGAAAAGAGAACTAGTAAATAAATAATGAGAAAAATGGGTGTTCCAGCATATTTTATTGAACGTATGTCCTTTGCATCTCACATGGTACCAGGACAGAGGCAAAGACACAGCCTTGCCTTACCATAAGGACCTCATCCTACACTAAGATACAGGCCTGTGAATGGGCAATACTGCAATACAGAAACATAGTCAACAAAGAAGGGGCCCTGACATGGCTTGGGAGGGGAAGGAAAGTTAGCTTACATGTTCTTTAATTGAACTCTGAGGAACAAATAGGAATTCATCAATCAATGAAGGGTTGAAGGCAGATCATAGGCAAGGGGAACAATTTCAACTATCCTTAATGTAGTTGGGAAGCAGGAAGAAAATTAAAAATGCCTCTTGGTGGCCAGAATACATGTCACAAAATGCACACGATGAAGTCCAGGCATATAAGTCACAAGAGACTAAGTCAAAGGACATTATACTTAATGCAATATAGCGGCCTCAGAACTAATGTATGTTGGGCAAGGGCTACGTAAGCAGTACCTTGATTGATAGCCAATATCTCTGAATGATAGTTTTTCCCATTCTGGAGCCTGACCATGTATTCCTGGATTGGTAAGCGGGCTGTCTTGACAGAATACTCCTGGGCCTTTTGAAACGTCACCTTCTGTAAATCAAAGTTAAATACTTTTCATATTACAAAAATTATAAATGAATTATTATCACACATATGGACAGGAATTGTAATCATGTAATATGCATAGCAAACTGTGAGATCCCCATTTATGCCTATGCTAGTTTCCATCAGTAATCACAGAGACAAACATTAAAATATGAGTCTAGGGCTGGGGTTGTGGCTCAGTGGTGGAGTGCTTGCCGAGCATGTGTGAGGCACTGGGTTTGGTTTTCAGCGTATAATTAAATGTCCATTGATAACTGAAAAAATACATATAAAAAATAAGTAGTATATGTTAGAATGGAAGAAACTTCAGAAAATGAAGAGTACTCATCCCAAGTAAGAAATGGCAGCAACACCTCACTTTCTGGGGACCATTTATTCACAAGCTTCCGTTTACTACCAGTTATAAGACAAATAAAATAAGCAAAAGAGGCAGATCTACAGCTACAAGGCTTCAAAGAGCCTAAGCAGTTTAACCAGAGACTGCTCCTGGCCTGAACTAAGTAAGACTTGATTCTGAATATCTGGTGTTTTAAGCTCAGTCAATTGACAGCAGCAAATGAAAGAAAAGGAAAACAGGATTCAAGAAAATTAGTTAGCTAGCAATAAAGCAGCACTGAGGGGCTGGGGCTGTACCTCAGTGGTACAGCACTTGCCTAGCATGGGCACTGCGTTTGATCCTTAGCACCACATAAAAAAATAAATAAATAAAGTTTAAAAAAAGACAACACTGAAATGTAAGATTCAACAATTCCATCAAAAGGAAGGGCAGAGGGGCTGGGGATGTGGCTCAAGCAGTAGCGCGCTCTCCTGGCATGCGTGCGGCCCGGGTTCGATCCTCAGCACCGCATACCAACAAAGATGTTGTGTCTGCCGAAAACTAAAAAATAAATATTAAAAATTCTT